GGGAAAGAGCTAAATTATTTCACAAACAGAATTTTGCAACACAAGATTTGACTGTTATTATTTGAGCCAGCAGAATTTTTACTGTTTGCAGATCCAAATCTTATTTCTCGTGGATAGCACAAAAATGCAAGACTTGCAACACACAAGCACTAATTTTCACAAGACTTATTTACAGCATTAAATCTCTCTTTCATTAGCTTCTTAAAATTCCAGTTTCTTCAACTAAATGGTTTATTTTTAAAGGCCTGCTGAATAGCACATAACATGCACACAAGGATAAAATCAAGCAATAGAGTTAAACATACCCATTCTATTTGTATTATAATAGTAAAGGTGAGGCTATTCACCTAATCAGCCCACTCAAATCAGTTATTCCAGTGCTTCCCTTTGCCGATTCTGCTGATTCAACAGGAATCATGAATTCTTTCACCCACAAAATAGTATGCATTTGGTTTTCATCTATCTTTCGGGTTTTCTTCAAATCCTTTTCCTCTCTCTTTGAGTTAGTCACAAAATGATACCCCAGCATAAAGGCAAGAGAAGTTGCTGAAGAGAACTAAAGGCAACGAGATTCAGTTCTGTAAAACCCTTTTTATATTCCAAAGACTAACCAGCTGAACTAGGAATTACTCAACTTCTCTTTCTCACAGACATCAGCATCGGTACCACTTGAAAATTTTTTTAAGATTTCTCTCTTAACAGAGATTTAAGTAAAGAGAATCTGACTTCAAAGCTAACATTCAGGATTTGTATTTCGTTCAACTCAGTCTCTTCAGTAGCACAATACTTGTTAAGTATATCCCAGAACAGCACAAACCCAAGTTTAAGGGAACATAGCTATGTGTGGTAAATGAAAGAAGCATTTAATTCTTGTTGAAATTAATGTAAATTTCATGCTATAAACAATATAACTTCTTGGATACTGAATGACTTAGGAGGATCAGTAACAGCACACAGACCGTTTTGGTCAAATTGCTAAATATAAGACAGCTGCAACTTAGAAACACTTGGTACACAGAAGAAGAAAAATAGTGGCTTATACATTTCTGATTCTATTCGAGTTCCAGGTTCCTTGTGATCAAAAATACCAACAGGTTCCTGTTGTATGACTTACGTGAAGTGTGTTGGTAAGACTTAGACACATGCTGAGGGCATCTACTCTAAGATCATGTTTTTACACTTGCTTTCTCATCCACATTTTAATCCAGAAGGGTGGTTATGGAAAATGCTTGTTCTCTTGCCACCACAGACATTTTAATTATTCTGCCAGGTTGCCAGCATAAATTACACATTATCAAATTGAAAAGAAAACAAAGCAGGAGTGAAGAAAAGACATCATACCTTATGTGCCAGGTGAAAGAGTAAACGGTTCTGAAGACGACTCTTAGGTGCTGAAAGGAAAAATCAGTATTATTGCTGCACAGAATTCAAGCTGTCTCTTATTTTTAACTTTCTCAATAGACATGCATGCACCCATATTCTTTCATTAACTAGCTCAAGTACAGTTCTTCACTTATGCAGCCTTTGCAGGTCATGCCCCATGGCAGGTTCTACCAATTTTAGAGTGGTTTAAAGGCCTTCCTATCTTCATTCCCTGACCATTTCTTTTTAAATGTGTTGAAAACAACTTTTCATTGGCCTCTGTCTTCCACGAGCCTTTAAACATTTAGGAATTGCACTATTATTTCCCTGCAGGGCTGTCTGGATAATTGTGGGGGGGTTTGTGACACATAGCACAGCATCTTTTAGAGAATAAAAAGCAGGAACAGATAAACTCATAATCAAGGCTCCTTCTACAATGTGTCACATTTAAAGTAAGTTGTGATTCATAATTTTAGGAATCTTGTCAACTTCCAGTGTATTGTGAAACTCATTGCTGCTATCATTCTGTTATGTATGCACATCATATTATGCTTAGCTAAAATTCAAGCTAAGATATGGCAAGAGATTTAAGGGAGACACATCCTTTCTAAAGCCCCTGAAGTTCATGAAATTTCTTGCTGAAGCAGGATTAGAAATTCCATGTAACTCACTCCATATGACACAAATTGTTAATTGTAGAGCTTCAAGTCACTAGAGAGGGCCTTGTGCTTCACTGAGAGTGACAAAGGCTCTCATCCAGCAGAGCTATTAATTTCTTTTGCAAGCAATCTTCCAAAAAGCCTTTCCTGTATTTTCTCAGCTAATGAGCACTCTCATTCTTGCCAGACCAACCAGCTGGCAACCTATGTTTCAACAGAAAGGATGTACATGGAATCTTTCAAAAAGCAGAATGACTTACTGTGTTTATGAAGCCACAAAAGTTGCAGAGTTAGCAAAGCAATGGCCTGTAACACAAGGCTGTAATTCTTCTGACATCCTAAACCATGAAAGAGGGCTCAAACCACCAAACCCTCTTCCCTCTCCCCTCCCAAGATGGAATTTTCTAGTAATAAGTTCGGGTTTTTTTGTTTTTTATTTATTTTATTTTTTTTAAGCAGAGTAGGGAGAGATTTTCAGGCTTCTTACTCTTTCTCGACATAGTAAAAATACCCTTTGTAACAGTGGACATTGCCAAAACCCAGGCCATTCTCATCAGGCTGGCGGTGTAAACCTGCCCACATACTTCTGATAGGTACAGCAATTATTTCTCTCACTTCCACCTTCCCAAGCTGTGTTATTTAGCCACATTCCTAGAAAAAGAGGATGGAGAGTTGTATCTTTTAACAACTGCTACAACACAAATGTCCCAAAAAAGCCAAGGCAGAATGAGAGCACTCTCACAGAACCACATCTTAACAGCAGAGCATCAAGTTGTTAAGAAATTAAATGGCCTTCAATCTTGGATCTACATGGGAATTCTCATTAGCCTAGTTACTAAAGAAGGTTTTTTTCTGATCAATACTGTATAAGCAACAGTAGCAATATAACTAGCATGTACTATTGTGTCAGAAATTCATTCATTCATTGAGTTAGAAAGTTAGGGTACCTTAATTTAAAGGCATGTTCTTCAAAATGTTGTTGGCAAAGATAGTGTGGCAGCTCTACGCGTGCCCCAGCATTAATTGATAGGTTTTAATATCAAAGTTTAGAAGGGCTGCACATGGACCCCACATGTGCTTTTGTGTGAAATTTAAACCAACCACAACCACCCCTCACAATTTAAAACATTAGGTCATCAAAGACTCCAAAAATATAAGCAGGACAGATTGTGGGATTTATGCTGAAAATAACGTATTGTATAACCACAGTGCTATGGGTAAAGACACATGTTCCTTTTTTTGAGTAGATTCTGTTTTTTCTTTTCCTTTTCTTTTTTTAAGTGGGTTTTAGCATTAATTTTGCTGTGAAAATTGTGACTTGCAAGGAATACTCCCTCAAGAATCTAACCCAAGGAATTCTTGTTTCACTGGTCAAACAATGACTGCAGTGCTGCCTTCTTAGACCTGGCATCTGATCTGACATAAAAATTATTATTTACTTCCTGGCAAAAACTGAAGGGTTAGTAGATGTTACTCTACAACTAAAGCCAGGCAAAAGATGAAACCTGAGTACTGATGGTGCGCATGGATATATGGAAGGAGAAGAATGTTCTCTGTCATATGATATTATATGATACTATCCATTTGATAGTCTTTAAAATAAGACACTTAATGTCAGACACAGAAGGAGAGGGCAAAAAACAAAAGAAAAAACCAGTCCTGTCGACAATAGTAAGCAGAACCATGGAAACATTAAATATCAGCAGTTTCTTTTCTACCAGTGTCAAATGCACTTTTTTGAGGAAGATAAGGAAAAATATGAATAAGACCAGATTACTTTCCAGAAAGAATTTGGTTATGAATACTGGATAAAGCTGTTGTCAATCACTGAAGCAGGAAGTGACACAACTGCCTCATCAGAGATAATGACTTTTAAGGGACATTAGGCTTGTTCCTTTACTACTCTTTGCTGCTACTGAATTTAATTGTTGCTGATGTATTGATGCCTCAAGGAAGCACAATCTTTTCCTATCCTACTTTTTCAAGAAGATGATTGTAAATTATTACTTTTTTTATCAGTACTAAGCAATCTAGGGATCATAACAAACATGATGGCAATGCTGCATGGCAACAAACTGGACCCTGCTCCAAATCTAGTATTGTCCTTGTGCTACAGAGATGGCTGAGATAGCCAGATAGTACATATCTCTTTCGAGCTAGGAAATACATCAATATTCCTATGCTGGAATTTTTGTCATGATGAGTGCTGATGTTCCAGGCACTAAAGTCATAGTTGACATTGATCTTAAAAGTTTTCTGTGTATTTTTGTGTGCTGACACTGAACAGGTACCTAGTGAAGTATTTGTTAAAGTATAATGAACAGAATACACTTACCTTCACTAATTATTAAACAAAAAGTTAAACTCATTAGAAATGGCAGCTCAGACTCCTGGTGGGTTCCATTTTGCTACCACAAGTAGTAAGAAGATGATGAAACACAGTAATGGACAATGTGGCATCTGTGCTCTCTTGTAAAAGTGCAAGGCAATGCTGGTCATCCATCCAGTATTAACAAATCCCATCTAGCAGATGTAATGCATATGCTGTAGCAGCACTTCACACATTAACAGACATAGAGCACATCTTGTACATAGCAGGAGCTCGTAGGAATAAAACAGGGTTTAGAAGGCTCTAGCCTGACAGCCCAGAAAACAGCACCAGAGGGAATATTATTCTCCTGTCCCTGAGAAACAACACCCTGCTCATCTGAATACAGTAGCTGAATGAAGCCCTTTGTGCCTCAGAACCACAGTTTTACTGGTGGAAGGAATACACAAGGGCATGGGAAAAATGTTTGAAAAACCATGGTCAGGCAGTGAGGTTCACACTTAAACACGTTTGAAAAACCATGGTCAGGCAGTGAGGTTCACACTTAAACACACTTGAATAGCTCAACTGTTCAGAATTTTCTTGAATGAAATTTACTGAGGACATTCACTGAAATTTCCCATTCTCAAAATACTTAAAAGCCAGTTCAGCTACGTACAGTTACTTGCATAATATACACATTTCATTTCAGTCATGCCTAAGCACAGGAAGTTAAAGATCATTGAAGCAATCAATGAAGCAATTATTCCTGTTCTGTAGCTTTCACAATACTTGAAAAAGAAAGCAAGAAAATAGGGTTAGTAGTTTTTAAAGTTTAAATATGTATAAGTTGATATTTTCACTTATACACTTTGAAAGTTACATATATCTAACTCTGCTGTTCCAAAACCAAAATCATGGCAGTCAGGTGAAGTACCTGACCACTGGAAGAAGGGTAATAAACCCCCCATTTTCAAGAAGGGGAAGGTGGAAGACCTGTGGAACTATAGACCAGTCAGTCTCACCTCTGTGCCTGGCAAAATCTTGGAGCAGAGTCTCCTGGAAAGCATGCTGAGGCACATGAAAAACAACGAGGTGGTTGGTGACAGCCAGCATGGTTTCACTAAGGGGAAATCCTGCCTGACCAATTTGGTGGCCTTCTATGATGGGGCTGCGGAACTGATGGACAGCAGCAGAGCAGTTGACGTCATCTACCTGGACTTGTGCAAAGCGTTCGACACTGTCCTGCACAACATCCTTGTCTCTGAATTGGAGAGACATCAATTTGATGGATGGACCACTCAGTGGATAAAGAAATGGCTGGATGGCCACATGCAAAGAGTTGCGGAAAATGGCTCAATGTCCAGTTGGAAACCAGTAACGGTGTTGGGACCTGTGTTGTTCAACATCTTTGTGGGTGACATGGACAGTGGGATTGAGTGCGCCCTCAGCAAGTTTGCGGACGACACCAAGCTGTGTGGCTCAGTTGATACGCTGGAGGGAAGGGATGCCATCCAGAGGGACCTGGACATGCTTGTCAGGTGGGCTGATGCCAACCTCATGAAGTTTAACCAAGCCAAGTGCAAGGTCCTACACCTGGCTCGGCACAACCTCAGGCACAGCTACAGGCTGGGCAGAGAAGAGATTCAAAATAGCCCTGCAAAGAAGGACTTGGGGGTGTTGGCTGATGAGG